CAAGAGGATCGAAGTCGTATCATTTAATCGCTACCATAGGGTGAACAGCCATCGTATTGGGAGTAAGGTCCATTGTTAAGAAGACATATAGCAGAAAGAGAGGAACGCCCGGGCAATCACGAGTGGAATTACGGCAGACACCTACACCAGTCGGCAATGGTGCCCTTAGCGCCACAAAAAGGGGTCATAGGAGCTTGCCGGAACTTCGAGACACGAGTATACCGACAGCCCTCGTGGAACCGGCAGGCCAGGTGAAAGCGGAATTCCAAGCCTTGTGAGAGCCATTGAGAGACTGTCAAAGAAAAAGGTTAAGAAGATTCAGATGAATTTCCAGTCTATACTCCCAATAATTTTTTGGCCAAAGAGGAAAGTCCATCACAAATCACACTAAGCTTCAAAGTGAGACTGCGATCCCCTTGAGAGGTAGAGTAATAAACCAGAGAAAAAAATACAAATAAAAAAACAAAACACAACAAAAGTAAACAAAGGAACTATTATAAACGCTTATAACCAGTTGTTTGTCAAAAACAGTACAAAAACTTGAAGAGAAGTTTGATCTTGAATGAAAAAAAGCATGATCGCCACCCTTATTTTGCAATGATCCGACCGAAGCATGCAGAGTAGAGAAGAACGGTTTCTGGAAACATAGATTTGCTATCGTAAAAATCACAGGAAAATATCAGAAGTCGTGAACATCAAGAACTCTTAGTAAATTCACTTCCCTCAATTTCCTTTTGAAAACATTGACATTTTGAGCCTTTTGAACTTCAGCAGGCAATGCCTGAAGCCATTTAGCTCCTCGGAAAATGAGTGAATTAGACACCTTAACATGTTGCTTTCTAGTTAACTTAGGACATTGTAGTGAGAGCACATGGGTGCGCCCACTACAAGGTCTGAACATCCAGTAGTTACTTGGCTTCAGCCTCAGGTCACCCTTCAGCAACTTGAAGCTAAAGACAAGGTCGTTGAAAATGCGCGATAAAGAAGAGATTACAGATTGAGGCTCTTTAAGGCCGATGTCATAGTTTGCGAATCGAGCGATTCGCTAGCGAATCGCTGGATCCGAGCGTTGCGCCAGCGAATCGAACGATGCACCAGCGACTCAATAGTGGCGGGACCCAACGTTTAAAGGAAGCCCGCCACTTTCAAACAGTGTCCACTGTCACGTGACACTGTTTGAAAGTGGCGGGCTTCCTTTGAACGTTGGGTCCCGCCACTATTGAGTCGCTGGTACCTAGTTCGACTCGCTGGTACATCGTTCGACTCGCTGGTGCAAAGTTCGATTCGCTGGTGCAACGTTCGATTCGCTGGCGCAACGCTCGGATCCAGCGATTCGCTAGCGAATCGCTCGATTCGCAAACTATGACATCGGCCTAAGCGTTCTCTGTAATCCAGCATAGGTGTAGAATACGCTGTGGTTCGTCTACATCTTTGCAACAGAATCTTAGTAAACGTTTGTTGGACCTTTTCTATTCTAGCCTGAAGCTTCCTAGTGTGTGGGCTCCAAACCTGGGACCCATACTCTAATATTGGAGCCACATAAGTCTTATAGAGTCTTAAAAATATGTCGGCATCGTTGCACCTAATGTTTCTAAACAGTACAAAAAGGACTTTGAAAGCCTTCTTCACAATTACATTGATGTGATTTTCAAAGTCCAGCTCAGAGTTTACCAAGTACCCGAGGTCTCGAACTTCCTTTACACTCTCCAAAACAATGTCATCAAATTTGTATGGGGCTTCTATAGCTTTACCGATATGCAGCACCGAAGTTTTGGCGAGGTTCACTGGTATCTCCCAGGCCCTAGCCCACACCATCATGCTATTGATTGATTGAGTTAAGGCCTGGTAAACACGTTGATAAGTTTCTTCGTTGTAGACCCCGTACACCTTGATATCGTCCGCATACATGTGGACTTTAACCATTGGATGCGTTGTAAATCGTGAGTATATGCCACAAAACAGAATTGGGGACAATACACCACCTTGCGGTACTCCACTAGGACATACGTGGCGTTTTGAGGAAAAATCCCCGACTCTCACACAGATACAGTAGTGGCCAGAAATTTATGAACAAACGGTTTTTTCATGATTTCTCTTTTGAAAGTCACTGGAACGTCTCCAAATTTGCAACAATTATTAACTACGTGTTTTATGATCCACACAGAAAATTTCAACCTTCAGCTCAAATTTGGGTTTAGAAAATTTTAGATTTTTCGAAATTAATGAAGGCAGGTGAAAGATCACTTGATCCGTTTATTTGATTTAAATAATGTATAACCCAACAGAACAGTCAAGTAAACAGTCACTAACATTAAGCAAGTCTAGCACATTGCCCAGAACTCTCTAAAGTATTGGATACATAAACTGGATTTGAATGCGGGGTCAACTAATGAACTCACTCTCTAGTGGGGTCTCTCTCTGTAGGCGCTTATTTTCGTGACTCTTTCTTTGGTGGATTACCAAAGGAAGACTGTACTAAGGACGTGCAACAAGGATTTATTACTACGTTTAGCACAAGTATCGACCACAATAATACATTCACGGGGTTTATATACACAATATGTGGGCGGTCCTCAGATATCGTACCGTCGCTGGACCGTAGGGGGCCAGCGGTGGTACTCAAGTTTGGGGAATGAAAGAGCGGACCGCGCCGAACGGCAGAACCTACTTGATTGCACACTTATGATACCGCCGGGTCATGCCTGCGGTATCATCTCAAGAGATACTCATATCAAGTTATGCCTATGGTTAATAAGTTGAACTAGCATGTTATCAATCATTTGTATGAATCCTAGTTCTATTAGGAGTTATAGGTTGTGTATCCACAACACTGGGGCGGGGCGAAATGAAGCGGTAGCTGCAAAAGCTGTAATAAAATCTAACAAAATAAGTGACTATTTCAGCACACCCTGAATTGAATGGTGAGATAGATTTCTGTTCTGATATGACGACGATTGTTCGTCCACAACATGGGGCAAGGCGAAAATAAGCGGTAGCTAGAAGTACAATAAAAGAGCTATGTTACTTGAATCTAAAACAATTAAACACAATAATCAAGATGAAAATGATTTGGAGTTGTTCCTCAGATGCTGCTCGGAGTGTGTAGACGTGGTAGGATGTCCATTTATTCTTGGCTTGCTGCGCTGACTTCTGTTGTCGCAGTCGAAATATTCTTTCCCGAAGTTGTGGCTGTAGTTATTCTCGTCCCTTCCGGTGCGATAAGGCAGCAGTAGCAGAGCACGTGCGGAAGACTTTGACGAGCTGTCGAGCTTCATACAGTCCTGCTTCCTGCTATCGCTCGTTTGTGTTGCTTGCTGCCGGTGTTTCCTTCTAGACGTTCGGCTAGGCATGTGTTTACGGCGTGGATCTACCTTACGCGTAATGTTTCGTTCCTGTCCTTCAGTTGCGGTAGAGATTGGCACAACGTTGAAATGTGTGCTGCGCACAA